TCTCCGGATGCAATGCCGAACGGGGTCGTCACTCACCATTACACACAATCGCATAAAGAGAAAGAAGAAGAACGAGGTAGCTATAAATGGGATATGTTACCATAAAAGAGATTGAAAACAGTAAAGAGGGGGAATATACGATACAAAGAGTTACCAAGGAGCTGTACAATTGATCACTTTGGAGTGCGGGGCGATCAGAGAATATTAGTTAGATACCGGCGGGGAGTGCAGCGCTGTGGGCAACTGCGGGTTAGGGTCATGGAGCTGCTGAGGGTACGCAGACGGCGAGACGAAGCGATACGTTACGGGGAGAGTAGTGTCAGCGAGGGGAATGCGGAGGGACACCGGCATCTTCACCAACAGACGTTCACACCATCCTCATCCGGATCCGCGCCATCGGTGACCTTGGTACGTTCAAACACCCATGGTCCTAGCTGGTTCGTTACACTTGTTTACCCTATTAATGTCAATTAACAATTGCGTAATTGCAGTCATGGTAAAGTTGTAGACATTTAAAATGACTTGGTGTCAAAGTGCAACACAAATTTTAATAAGTTGTCGCAGTAAAATGCAAAACAGTGTGGACTAAACTAGAGCCACGAAGATTTTACACGACTGACATTAAGAGGTCATTTTATAAGATAGACTGTCGGCGTTGAACGTCTCGCTTCGAAACAAGTACCAAGGTCGTAAAAGTAATTGGCTAAAGTAAAACTTACTGAGTTCTACTCGCGTTCGTCCTCTTGTGACCTGGTCAAGATGACCGCGGAGGTAATTTTTACTGGCAAACGCGAAGAAATCCCTTGGTCTCAGGGAAGAACCATGGTTCTAGATTATTGAAATGGCCAGACTAGGCTATATTGTAAGAGGTGAAAAGACAAGAGAAATAATTCAAGCCTTTGCAATCTGTCTTGGTATGGTAAGTCCTTGAGACCGTAGAGCACCTTCGTCGTCCTCAGTTACACCTATTCAAGGAGGTCAAAATCTTTCTTTATCGCCGGTGTCCAAACTGAAATTCCGCAACCTAAATGTGGCCTCACGAAGATGCCGAAGGTCTTTTCAAAGGGATCAGGGGAACGGGTTAAACGTACGTCGTATCCAGATCAACGTACGAGTTGCCTTCCACACTATTTCTTTAAAGAGCTCTGATGGCAGTAAGTTCGCAGATGTCCATACGATCAGTTCTTTGTGCCTTTCTACCTCTTTAAATGCGGTGCACTTTATAAAATGTTGTGTTTATGTGATATATATGTCAACCGAGACTGATGTGTTAGACCACACACATGGATACATTAAGCTTATAGAGCCCCGTTTTAGACCAGACAATCTGCTTGTTGATATTCAATTGTAATCCGTTTGCGTCGTCAGCGCACCTTAAGTCCTTGGTCGGATGACTTGGTATTCGTAAAAATTAAAGCCAGGTTATCATTTACCACATCACTTCAGCAAACTGTCCTGCAGACATTCGATTTAATTCCATAATTTATAATCATCGGCGAGCATTACTAGCTCACAGATAAGACCATCAAGGATGTCACTCACATATCTCAAAACAGGACGCTCTCCTATAGAGCCCCACCGTGAACAAGGTTGAACTCCGATTTGGCCTTTCTTATGCAAACACGCAGACGTCTGCCTGTTAGATAGTCGGCCAACCACGTGAGAAGATTACCAGTGACATCTATCTAATTTACTTATTTATTGCAAGTTTACAGGCAAGGTCAAAAAAAAATATCAAGTAAAGGATAAAGCTTACAGTAAAAAAATCCCGAAGCATCTTCTCTAGTGTTTTTAGGAGGAAAAAAAACTGCAGCTCGTTGAATTTCGGGACGGCAATTGTTGAAACATCGTCACGTCTTTTCCGGTTATATCCCTTTTCCATTTCTGCTTTTAGGCTCAAACTTATCCAATGACTATTTTGTCTCTTTACACATGTTCTGACCCAACTTTCTATGCATTCTTTGAGTTTATTAATAATAAGCTGGATTTCACACACGTTTACATTTTAAAGTGAAACAACAAGACCGACTGCGACTGAGCATTCAAGAAGTTTGTAATGATCGAAAATTGGACTAGAACATATTAAAAATATAATTTAAATTTTTCATATGAGACACTTTATCTGTTTTTGCTTCGGATATTTCCTTATTCCATAGCTAGATCATTTAACGATCGCTTGTTTAAATATGTCAGTTTTAACTGCCTGATTTTCGTTCCCATACAAATTTGCCAATCGGACGGATATATGGCTCCTCACTAGACCCTGGCTGGCTTCTTTTCGTTGAGTGTCCCATTGGCCATGCAATGTATAGGCCAGCCGTTGGCATGTTTTCACCTGTTGGAGCGCACACTCCTCGACTGTGCGGATCTAACACCCGGAAAAATACCCGGATGGATTTTGAGGAGTCTTCTTTTAGGGATGAAATTGGCAAACGTTTGCCGCCACCTATCCCTCCCGGAGCCCTGAACGTTGACAATGCTCCTCCCTTACCGCCAAAGCATCCGCCGCTGGTTCATAACAAAGGACTAGAAACTTTTAATCCTTGTAAGAAGGCTTCCGAAAGCTTGGATTTGGCCTGTAAGGATGTGTACGAGTCCATCAGCGACTCTAATTTATCGTCCCGGGCATCCATTCCCTGCAAGCCTTATTCCCGACAACCCACTTCGCAGGATTTGGACACAGGCCTATCCTTTCTCCCTCATCCCCACCGGCCCGAAGTGGTTGCTGGTCCCACAAAAACGTCACCCCTTTGTCCTAAATTTCAATGCCCTCCGACAGTTTCGCGTTCCTCTGGACGTGATTTGTCTCGCTCCCTGTGCACATGCCACTTAGGTAGTAAGTGCAACGTGACTTCATGCACAAGCAAGTCCTATCACAATGGCGAAAGTCCTATCTGGTCTAAGATGACGACTTTGGATCCAGAAGTAGGAAACCGCAACCCTGGAAGTGCCCACGCATCCTACTTCTCCCCAAGCTGCACTACTGTTGTCACGGTGTGTCATCCATCTGATCGTCCAGCGCTTTCGACCGTCCAGCCACACTTTAAGGATCAACCA